CTACTGTACTCTATAAACTGCGAGCCAACTATACTACACGAGCGTTAATTTATTAATTATTACAGAATTACGGAAGTAATCTCTAGTTTTAAACGGACGAAATGTCGGATAAAAACTCACCAAAACATCTTGCAGCAGTTCGTGCTCGTCGAGAAGTATCACTTTGCAGTGAAGAAGACGGGGCCTACGGCTTCCAGCCGGCCTAAGTCCTGGACAGAGCCACTCCACTACCATCTCTTCGGCAGCCCTCGTTTCCCTTGTGATTCCTTCCTGGCTTTACTCGTTCATCCGCTCATCGGTTTCGGTCATCCTGAAAGATGAGGACGACGTTGTAATCCGATCAAAACTGTCGCCGTCGAAGCTTGTACATACATACTGATGCAGGCGAACACGATCTAACCACGAACGTTTTGTTCGGTATACAAAACAGCCAGAGCTGCGGGACACCTAACCTTTGCACGCTTAACAACACCACTCGTGCTCTTTTTGTAACAACTCTTTCACGCACAAATTTTTGTGACACTTTAAAAAAAGTTACTTTAACGAAACAATGCTTTGGTAGATTTTACTTTAATAAAATGTGTAAAAATTTCACTGGGATCATTCTAGGCTACAAAGTGATTAAATAGACAATTTCGTCGAATTATTTTAATGTTTAATCCTTAAAAAAAGGTGGAATATTGGTTTTTAATGCACTATGTTCCAAAGAGTTGAAAAAACCGGATAAAATGATTGAATACAGTCTCCGTGATACTAACGCTAAAATTACTAACGATTAACCCGTTGAATGTTTAGTCCGTATTAGAGATATTGCACAGATGATCTTACAATCGATAATGAAGTAATTAGTCTACTTATCGAAGCTTATAATATATTGCAATATATTGAATCAAAAGGCATTCTTAATTTATTGTAGCAATATTTGCTGTTCATTCAGTATTAAACTTTCAGACTTCTTCATTAATTCGAAACTTGTAATAAAGTGCAAGAGAAAATAATAAAAAATTCTGTACTTGCAATGATTAATTAATACCTGAAATGCAATGAAAAAGGAATTTCATATCTAATATTCGATGATTACATTTGGTACGCTCGACTAATCATTCATGACGCGGTAATTTATTTAATCAGAATCTCAGCTACGAATCCGTTCTACGATAAAGTCTCCTTAATTAAATCCCTATCTTCTCGCGTAATTTAAAAATTTTTACTTTATATATATATATATATATATATATATATATATATATATATATATATATATATATATATATATAATATACACTTATTATTTTGCTTCAAATACTTTGTATATTTATTATTTCATTATTGTATAATTCAAGATTAGCAGATGAAATGCTGCGATTCTTAACGAAATGATTCAAAGAATAAAAGAAAATCCTCGAGGTAGATTCTCAGATGAATTTCTCTTTAAAAAAAAAAAAAAAAAAAAAACAAAAATAGCGCGATGATATTTTCGTATCGATGTGAGAATTCTACCGGCCACAAAATTGTACGGAAAGAGAAACTTGAGATTCCATTGCATTCACTATGTCCTGTATAATCCTGTATAACTGAAAAATGAAACGAACTATCGTCGCCAAGCGACCGCACAGTTCCACGAACAATCCATCGTAACCCTGAACAATGAATGGAGCAAACCTGAAAACGTTCGGAGTTCTCCGAAACGGGTGTTCAATGGGCCTAGGTCCGACGAAACCAATTAAAACCGGCCCCGCACAATGGCCGAATAAATGGCCGAATTAACCAATGCCTTTGGGCAACCGTAAGGGAATCACGCGGCCAATAGAATAATGAAACGCTAAAAGCGTATCGCAAAAGCGACAGAAGCTAGTGCGGCCTAACGATTCGTTATGCTAAGAGGAGCTGGAGAACGAAAAAGAATAGTGGCTCGTTAATCAGTCAGCGATGGGATACATACCAGCTCGATCTGATCGTTAATCAGACGGATATCTATCTCGCGTGTTCCACGAGAGATCCGTGGACGGGACATCGCTTGCGCGACTAATAGAGTCGACTCCAAGTGAACAACAAGAAGAGAACGAAGAAAAACGCAGACAGAGAGTGGGAGGAGGAGGGAGGAATAGGAGTAGAGAAAGGAGGACACGAAACGATGGTGAATTATCTACATCTCTGTTCGGACTGTCGTCGAAGAAGACGCGCAGAGAAGAGCGGAACGATTGGCTCCGGTGCAATTGATTTCGTGATTTATGATATCCAGACGCAACCGTTGAAGACCGACGGTTGCTGGAAGAGTTACTTTTTAATCGATTCTACGCTCGATCGAACTTTCCTTGATTTTTTTCTTTTTTTTTTCTCCTTTCTTTTTTCTTTTTTCTTTCGGTCTGCAGAACGTGTGTGCGTCCTCGAAAAGAAGTACGAAGACGAAGTACGAAAATATACATGTTCCATACATACGTTCCTATTATATTGTATCATATGAGAATTGAATATTGATTAACTTGATTATTAATTGCTTTTACGATTTTTGATTTATCTTCTTACTTCCAAAAAACGATGCAATTTCTATTTCCAATTGTGTATTAATATGAATTGTATTGTTTGAAGAAAATAAGTAACAATAAATTTGATTGCAAAGTTGGGGAACAGAAAGTGTCGTCGTAGCGTCTTTATGTATTGGTAATTGTATTTCGTCACCAGCACATTTACGAAAATTTATACAAACGATTATATAACATCGTTCATGATAGTAGGACGAGACATAACAATCAATATGAAATTCAATTTCTAAGACACCGCGTTTCCTGTTACGTGAGATGAATTAACATTGTTAATGTTTCCTCCGTTTTTATAAACGATACTTTATTTTCCGAATATCTGAATATTTTACAACATATTATATAAAACGTCTCCTAACAACGGATGATTTTCAACCTAAGAAACAATCTGTTCTGATAATGTTAAAATATTCCGAATAAAATAGAAGTAAAGCTGTTTGTCATTCAAAACGCGCGTCCAAAGAACGTTACGAACGATGTTGGAAAATATCTCATTCGTGGTGTGTAAGTATCGTAGACAACATTGCGTCCATATAAAAGCAAACGGATTAAAGAGAAAAGCATCGCCTAGACGAACGTCGCCGGGATCGTTCCGCGAAAACGACGGCGAAAATCACGACGACGAAAAGTCAACGAGGTAATACCAAGCGAGAACTGCTTGCATCCCCATTAAGATACACAACGCGCTCGTGCTAAGCACGATAAATTATCTACAATGCAAATTCCTCTCGGTGCACAAATCCCGAAACGTCCTGCTCCATCGGCGTGTTCTTTTTAAGTGTATCAGGCAAATTTATGCACGCCCCTTTCCCGCGCATAATTATCACGCTACGAGCATTATTTACATAACAAGTTTAAGTAACAAACATCGCAACGAGGCTCGCCCGCTTGTAAAATCCCCGCTCGCCGGGCGCGCACTTAATTTCCTGGCCGAAACGACGCCGACTTTCGTTCGTTTTGGTTAAACGGATCGAACAGCCGGAACACACCTGTAAGATTCGAACATGCCGCCGATCCGTAACGGGAACGGGCTCGATCCTTCGCCAAACTCGATACTCACGTGCTCCGGGGGAAATCAACTTGTCGATTAGATCAGCCGATCGGCCAATGACGCGGAATAACGCGAATCTCAATTATCGGGTTACAGATTAGTTTCTAGACGGGGAAAGTTCATTTAATTCGAAATCCTCCGAAAGGCATTCGGACAATTTTTTCTAATCTGTTCATCGACATTGATGGGGTTCTATAATAAATGGCAAGATGTTACATTGATTTTTTTAACACGTTGACAGATGTTTCTATTGTTATAATTATTTTAGAACAGAAGGGAATGGAAAGGAAAGTAGATATTTATAGAATTTTTAAATATTATATTTATAAAATTAGAATTATTTATATTTATTCTATATAGAATAGAATAATAGAATTATTTAAATATTATATTTATATATAGAATTATTTATATATAGAATAGAATTATAGAATTATTTAAATATTATATTTATAGAATTTTTATAGTATAATATAATATTATATTTATAGAATTTTTAATTATTTAAATTGATGTCGAATCGTTTAACTTGAAATTAATAATTGTCGCCATTCGAGATCCCTCTAAAATTCAGAATGATTGAAATAAGACGAATGAAACAATTTTAAACGACATAACAAACAACTGGAAGATATTCTAAAGTGAAAAGAGTACTCTTTTATAGTAATATAAGATTTTAGAAAAATCAACGTGTTAATAAATCTTTCTACAATAGTACGAAAAGTGGTTGCAGCAAAATAGAATTTGAGAAGAAGATTTTGAAACAAAAAAACGATACCTAGAATCGAGAGATCATCTCGCTGATAAAGTTTGAGCAGCGCGAGTCGATCGAATAAAATAAACGATCGCAAATTTATTTTCAACGCCTGCAGCTGCGAAGCATGCTTCCTGCTGGCATCTGAAAAATTATAAACAGCTTGCTACCCAGTGCTCGGCTACTCGTCTGTACCGTTAGCTCATAGTTCCGACGTAGCATCTCGAATACGATTGCCTGAACTCCATTCGACGTTTGCACGCGTGGTAACGCACGTGGCTTCAGAAAGTTTCCGTCCACTCGATGAGACTTTAAACTTTTGTCAAAACTCTCGTGAAGAAGAAGAAAAAAAATGGTACAACGAACCTGAAGACCTCGATCTTCAAGATCACATTGTTGGATGATTGTTGTAAAAACATTTGTTCAGTGTCCGTAACGACGTTTGAATTAGCAAATTGTTCAAAAGAGAAGTTAATGCTGTTACACGAGTGACTGCCACTTAAAATATCTTCGCTTTGAAGACCTGTTGGCATGCACCTCTGCTCTCGCTGTTAGGCAAAAAATCTAGGGGCAAGAAAAGCCTGGTGGAGCGAGCGAAATCGATATGGAGATGAGAGGCGGCCGTCCGCGATGCGGGTGATCCATATTTATCGATGGAATATATTTTAACGGGGGGGTATTAATGCAAAAGACAGAAGCAGGAAACGAGTGGTGGCTCGGCCAGGAAACTGATGACCGTCGCGAGACGAAGTGAAATTTAATTGCATTTTAAAAAGTTCGAGATATTAAGGTGCAAGATCGTTGCATTATCAAGTTAAAACTGGGGGAAAGTCTCGAGTTGGAGTTCGCCTGTAATTTCATTTTAGCAAAAATTTCTGCCCAATTCAGGTAAATTGGAGGAAAAGTTACGAGGCGGTTGGAAACTTTCGAGATTTACAAGACTTCCGATGCAACTTTATGTATGCTTTACACTTGCTCTCTGATTGGAGAATACGATTGTTAATGTCAATGGTTAGCAGCTTGAATACGTGAACTGCACGTGCCCTTGCCCAAAAATTTAAAGCGTATTAAGAATATTATTTTTTTTATACTAGTAGAGTTTCGATTAATCATATTCAGAGTTGCAATTAAAATGATAATTGCAACATTCACTTTTCAGGAAAATATACAAGACACATTGTAAAACGTAAAAATTTGTCTCGTTCAAGAAACACATGCGATATCACAGTGATTTTCAATCCGTACATATATAAGAAATGAACATATCTATCCTTGCCTCTAAATTTCAGGAATTAACCGTACAACGAAACATACCAAACAAAATATAAAATAAAAATGCAGCCAAAAGTGTATTTGATTTCGTATGTTAAATATTAGCGGTTGAACTCCAAGATTAGTTAAATTCCCAGTCTGACACTTTTCAGACACGTCTACAGAACCGCAGAGATATTTAAAATCGAAAAACACGGTATACCGGAACGTTTCTCCAGGAATTTTTCGATCCTATTTAATATCGGAACGCCTACGGCCTCTCCAACACAATGCGCCGCGCTCATAAAACGCCGGTTACCAATACATCGAGGCATTACACACCATTATTGCAATTCAGCCAGAACGTATTCACGATACGGTATCTCATTGTCTCAAGCTATTTATATCGCGACGCTATTTGCGTAGGTCACGGTGATGCACGGCCGAACGAACCGATTAAAAAGCGAAGGTAGCTGCCGCGCCGTGGCCGAGAATGCGTGCGCGCAGCGAGTGCACCGCGAAAAGAATCCAACGGTGATAAATACGCCGGTATATAGGCGAGGGTAAATCATCGAGGAACCTCTTTCCCGTTCGTGCAGCACGTTCGATGCAATTTAAATATTTAAACTCATTAGGCAGGCGCAGAATTATGCGGCAAGACGGCCAGCGTTTCACGGCTCATTCGATGTACCTGGACTGTTATTGATGTTTCATGGTATTACGAACATTATTAATATTATGGTATTATAACATTTGTATCCACAGTAGTATCACTTTGATCGCGGCGATCTGCAACTGAACGTTTGCCCCCGCGATATATGTAAATACTTCGGCCGGTAGCAGACAATATTTATTTTATTTTATTTTCTGAAGCTAAATCTTAGGTTTAATTTCCTAGGTTTCATTCGTAAACATCCACTAATCTAATTGTTAGTCACGTCGTTCCATCCAGTTTAATTTCTACTGCAATTAGCGCAGACGATGGAACAAAATAAAACACGATTTTCCTCAAAGTTTTGTCTAAGGAAAATCTTTTTTTCTCTCTACCTTTCTCTCTCTCTGTCTGTCTACAACCCCTTCTTCAGAGTCGGACGCGACTAAAAATCGCGTATGAACGTTGGCCGGCGCAGCGCGCGATATATCAAGTCTTGAAAAGAATGTCCCTACGCTCGACGAATCGCTAAGAAAATTAATGGCCCGCGCTTTGCATTCCCCGGAGAAGCTTTGAATGCCGAAGGTATCTCTTCTCTGGTTTGAAGAGAGTCGCCTTCTAGGTTCTGGCAGCGCCTACACCAGCCTCTCTACGACATACGGGTGGCTGCTGTTGCACCCTCGACGCGTTCTCCTCCCGAGGAGGCTCGCGCCGTCTTCTCGCGGTGATCGTCGCGGTTTTGTGAACGTGTTCACGTATTATTCATTAGCTGACGCCGTTCGCCGCTGTCACGCCGCCTGATGAATTATTTTATTCGTTCGTACACGCCGCGCGTACCAAGCCGCGCAGCCGCGACGTCGAATCCTAATCGAACGAGCTTGGCGTCTTTCACGCGCAACCGAGATAAGTTATTGCGCGTGGACGCTGAATTTTGCGCTGAAACGAAGGCTGGGGAACGAAACGTTTGGAACGTCGCTTGAATTTTGATAAAGGTGGTCGGAAGGAATCGGGTCAGGTAGGAACGATCGAAGAAACGAAATCGACTCGAGAGGGCTGATAAGGTATAGAGGGTTAAAATTAATTTTGCCAATATCGAAATCCAATATCCATACGATTACCAAGTAAATGAAACGCGACAGAGGCGTTATCCTGGCGTTAACGAATAAAAACGAAACAAAGGGCAATTCTCGCGCAGCGATTGAGAAATCAATATCGTTTCAAGTTCCTTCTTAAAAGCCGATCCGTTGATTCTGATGTTATCGTCGCTGCCTAACCCTACTCAATCAGTCAGTTGACGCCTCGTTATCCGAATCATATTGGCTACGCGGTATTTCCTCCGAATGAGAAAACATTCTAATTGAGTCTGTTCCAATCTCGATTTTACGAATAGTCAGATATCAGACGGAAGTCAGGGTCACGTGGTGCTTCGAACGCCCATCGTTTTCCACGTAGCGACGAGAACGTTAATTGTTTCCCGTCACGTAGAGACAGAGAGTTTCGAGAGAGATAGACGCTCGTGACAAGTCCGCTTCTCGGACAGAAGGTCGGGAGACCAAGGCACTTGCCTTTTGTCCTCGCGCGTCGCGGTCGAAAAATATCCGTCCAATGTGCCAAATTGTCTGCGAGTGCCGTTGAACTTCGCCATTGAACGCGAGCGCGAGCCACTCGGTCGATGCATCGGTGAAACAGGTTTCGTACCGAGTATCCCCGAAATCTGAACCCAGGATAATAGAAACCGACGGCGCTTAGCAAATTGCCATACGGCTGGCCCTTTATAGCGGGATTAATTGCAGACGGAATTTGCCACGCTCGATTAACGCATCCGTTTTCCTGTTCCACGTCGCTCTCCCACGTTATTCGTCTAATAAAGCGAAAGACGAAGAGACAAAAGGAAAAGAGAGGGAAGAAACATTGTCCGGAACGGCGGGAAAAATAACGAGAATAACGCTCGACTCGCGGAATGGACACTCGCGATCACGATTACTTCGTCCCGATGGTTACGACCGTCCGACGCGGAGTCGTTAAACGGAACAAGCTCCTCGAAATTGATACAGTTAACCGATACGAAGCAGCAATTTCTTGTGCAAATATCGGAAACGATCGCGCGCTGTCCTCGGTCCCGTTCTTCTTTCCTTTTTATTCGTCCAAACACGCGATTTTCGTTCGCAGAGAGAAACGACCGAGAGGCTCTCGGGGGAGAATGATACCGAACGATAAAATGGTTCGTTAAAGTGAAGAAAAAAAAAAAAAAAACGAAAAAGAGAAATGAAATTTCAGCGAGCGGATCGAGGCTAACGACAACGGTATAATAACCGAGACCTTGTGCCGTCTAATTAATCAAGCGAGTCCACGGGACAGAGGTTCGACTAGAAGTCGTTCTTTGACTTCTTTGAAGCTTGTTTCCGGTTTCGTCTAGCCGCATCCCCGGAAGACGTCGGTTCTCTCGATTCTGCTTACTTTATTCGCGCACAACTATCCAGAGAAAAAGAAGCGCGCCCGTACAGCCCCGTAATTGGTGCTTACGGCTAATAGCCCATTGTCTGCCGTAAAGAAGCGGGAAAAATGTTTCATTTATCTGAGACGTTTTCAAAAGCAGCATCGGAATGAACGCGGGCGTTTCGACGATACGATTTCGGAATACAATACAAAGTGCGCTCCCGTCCCACATTAAGCATTCGTCGATCGGCTTTAAGGAAGCATTAAATTATGCCGACGATGAATTTTTTTGCTCACCGGCTCTTTCCATCGCTCTTTCGTCGATAAGACAAAGGAGAATGAACACACCGTGACGAAGCGTCAGGAGTATGCCTCGCATTGATTGAAAACTCTCTTCAATTTTTTTCGTGTATCGATAAAGCAAGAAAAAAATCGAACTGCAAACAGTCGCAAACCGAATCGAATAAAATCAATAAACGGAAGGTTTGTTCAAAAAGCGGCTATATCGATACGATGCACTGAATGTCAAGTAGAAACAAAGGCGTGTTCACCATGAGGATGGTAAGAGAAAACAGAGAGAGAGAGAGAGAGAGAGAGAGAGAGAGAGAGAGAGAGAGAGAGAAATAAAGCAAGATCGAAGGTAAATCTCGCAAGAAGAAAGTTGAATGGTACGTACCTTGACCGCGAAACTCAGATCCCAGATCGAAGGCACGCTGTCGCCGCGTTGATCGATGCAGCACGTCCCGATGGAAGGGTCATCACACTTCCGGCGTGTCGTCGTCGAGTCACCGGCGGATCCACAAAACGTTTCGAACGCGCGCACCGAGTCACGAGCCGTTCGAGGAACGTTCGTCAAAAGTATCTCGCGAACGAAGAGCGAAACCGAAACCGAAACTGAAAGGAACGGAGACGAGACGAGGAGAATACGTGCGTGGTTCCACCGAGTTGATTGTTCACTGGACGCGCGTGGACCAATCGGCACGGTGCTGGTGCGTGCACTGTGACATGTCAGGTGGTGATTTTCTGTCTGTCGGGCGAACTCGACGGAAGCTCGCCGCGACTTGAACTGACCGCGCAGCGAGAACCGACGCGTAGGACGGAAGTCTGGGATCGGTGATCGATGACACCGGTGTTGATTAGGCCGCGGCACCGACGCGCGTATGCAGCCGCCGTCGTCGTTGTGTCAGAAGCAGAAGGAAGAGCAGCAGCAACGGATCCAACGCGCGTAGAAAGACAGAGAGAGAGCGAGAGAGAGAGAGAGAGAGCGAGAGCGAGCGAGCAACGCCGGATCAGGGCAGTGGCTTGGCTCGGATCAGACTGAGCCGAGTTAACCGAAGGATTCAGATGTGCCTTTACCTTGCGCGCCTTCCTTTCCTTTCCTTTCCTTTCCTTTACCTTTCCTTCGCCGCGCGTTCCGTCTCGCTCGCGCGCGTTCACGTCTCGTGCTGTTCACTCTGTTAATCGTGATAGCGTGGACAGTGACGTAGCTCGCCGCTCGGAACTCTTCCTTTGACCATTTCCCTCGCCCGTCTTCTTCTTCTTCTCCTTCTTCTTCTTCTTCTTCTTCTTCTTTTTCTTCTAGCGCACGAAAATTGCGGCACGTCACGCGACCACGGAAACCATTTCAACGCCGATTGTTGCTTGGTTAAGTTGTTGCGATTACGCGGCCGATCCCACTGGGCCGCGTTAACGCCGGTGCCATCGAATTTTTCGCCGGACTTGTTGCCGAAATCGAACTGTTTCGAAATTATTAATTGTCAGAAATGATGGAACAGTAAGTTGTTAATGCAAATCGATACGAACAGATTTATGGACAGACGTGAGTTTGATTATTGTACGTTTTAATCGTTATGCTGTAGCTCATTCATTGTTGAACTTAAAGATTGTAGAATTACAAATTCCAAGTTCGAATTACAAACTTATATATACTGAATGAAACATTATTTATAGCATACCACGAAGGCACATCTTGCACGTGATCTTTGCACCGGATAAACAACCTTTCAAAATACGAATTTTTAAATAATAATTTCCCGCCATTTCATACGAGTTGCAACAACAAAAAGCTACATCTAGTTTTAGGAACTTATACTCTATTTAAAACAGTTACGTCTAATCTGAAAATTAAACAAAACGCTCGTTTCAATAGGAAAAATAAACCAACTAGCAAAAGAATTATAGTTGACTTTTCTTGTCAGCTGAGAACGCTATTCCATTTATACCCGGTGTACCGGAGAGAAACGATACGGCACTGCGTGTAAGCACAGCATAGCGAAGCGTCTGTCCCTTTCTCAACCGCTACTCACCTTCCTCCGTTGAGGACCTCGGCCTCGTGCCCATCATTCTTCCTAATACTTTGGTACACGCCGCAGAGAAAAGAAGCTCCATAAAAACGTGCTGCCCCATAATGTCCATGCAATCGAGTTGACTTCCTAAAAATAAAAGGCAACACGCGACACGTGAATTAAAAGAATGAAAAGAACAGAAAAAGAGAGAGAGAGAGAGAGAGAGAAATGAGAGTAGGAAAGGTCCATTTTGAATCGCCTCCGTTCAACACTGAACCACTCTTGTGAATGATACGTCACCGTAGACGTGTCGCTGTTTCAAAAGGCTCCTTTTTATTCTCGAATTACGAGCTAACAGAGCGAATAGAGCAACCGGATAATTTATTTGCCACGGACCGGAAATTGACGGAGGAGCGTCCTATTTGAAACAGGTGTTACAGACGCGTGTTTCGAGGAGCAGCCGTGGCGCTTTCAAACGATGCCGGGCGCTTCTTCACCAAGGCTTGCCGTGAATTAGTATTTCGAACGCGAATGACGTTTACAAAATATTTACGCATACGCTTCACGGCGAATACGTATCGTCATAACGAGAAAACACGAGGTATATTATAATACTGAATACATACGATAAAATCATAAATCTAGCAGGCAATCTGTGATACTTCGAGAAAAAATATGAAAAATCACTGATATTTACTTGAGTACTTAATCCCGGAGCAAGTTTAAGTTGACCGTGTCGAACGAAGAAAAGAGTATCAATTACCTTATCATTTTTGTAGAATAATTGTCCGAAAACCGTCCTTTTGAAATTCCATGCACGAGAACCATTTCTAAACTGAATAATCGTTTCTCGCGAAAAAAGTGTCAACTTCAGAGTCATTAGTGCTGCGCTCTTCAGACGTGTTGAAGAACTAAAAGACTAGTCTATCGGTAACAAAGATCTCTTGGCAAGATTATTTTCCTGCAGCAGCGAATCACCGTCGTTCACCTCGCGACAGAGCAAAACAAAATTACGTGTCATAAATCATCGATAAAAATTCTAATTTATCAGATTTCTTTATCACCGTATGGTACATCGTTATCTAAATTGAAGAATAAGTCCCGAGAGAATCTAGTAATTTTTTGCGTAACGTTGCCAACAATGCTCGCAACTAAACTTGTATATTTTGTGAAGATTACTACGTGCGTGGTTCCTGTTAGATCATGTTTTGATATTTTTATGCCAATAAGTTATGTAGTTTTGCCAAAATATGCAGTGCATATAACCACGGTAAACGGTGTTCAAATAGTTGTTAAAAGGTACGTTTAACACTAAGTGTCGACGTGTAAAATGGCGTGGTTCGGTGACGGGCTGCCTAGCTTGTCGAATTTAAAGGGACAATTAACAAACTTTACGAAGGAAGTCTTATCGGAGGGCATTGTCGAGGAAATTGGTATGTGTAAACCTTTTCAAATCATCTAATCAACGTGAATCACAGTCTATTATCGTACAACGTAAATTACTAACGACTGTCAATGTAAGAGTTTGTTTTATCGAGCGAGTATGACACAAAGTGGCGGGAAATTCGAAACGTAAATATCATTATTTATAATTTTGTCACTTGCAAATAATGTTCTAAACTCTTTTACATAGACGAGCGATCGAGAGCATTGAAGGAAGCGAACGAAAAATGTGTTGAGTTGCAAGAAATATTAAACTCGAAAGACGCTGAAGTAAGTATAATTTTATTTTCGGAATCGCTGATTAATAATTTATTAACATCTATTTTTAACTGTTCTCTTCTTACATAAGAATGTCGTTAAAAATACCACGACATGATTTTATTATCGTAGAGTGCGTGTATAAATATTATAATGTTCCAAAATGACGAATAATTTTCTTAATTTTGTAGCTAGTTGGATGTAAAATTGCTTTGATTATTTCTGCATTTTACTGAGTTGTTATATCTGTACAATATCTTTACATCTCGTATCAATGGTCATATCAATCGATCGAATGACACACATTATTGCAAATTTTTTACATTCACGCAGATGTCGACCATCTCGATAAGGACATTCTACGGTTAAGAATTATTTTAACAGATGTTACTTTCCATATTAAACGGAATTGAGTACTAAGTAAACACGTTTACCTTATCTCGTATGACACTATCCCCGAATCCTTTCAATCCTTGACAAGGGGCGATAGGATGTTATCCTTCATTACATAAGCTATCAATCATGCTTTTCACGTAATAAAACGATGCCATTATAATATTTTTGAAGCATATTTTTCAATATGAGAACATCTTATCAATAAATTTCGCATTTTTTATGTGATTTCTAAATTTTTACAGACGTCTACAGAAAACAGAAATTTATTTTATCTATCCACCTATTTTCGATGTACACGCGATTACATGCAACGCAATGTAATTTCCACAAATGCACAAAAACACACAATCTGCTTATCAGCCACTCAATTTAAAAAAAAAGAAAAAAAGAAAAATAAAAAGCAGAACACTGTCCAATTTTATAATATCTTGCTGCTTTGATCCGCATTTTTCTCCGTTAAAAAAACTCATCTACGAAACAGCTTAAATATTCCATTTTCTGGACTATCGTGGCATTTCTTTCATAAAATATTACACGTTCGACCTTTGAACAGCAATCGTTCCATTGTGCAAAAATAGTTTCATGGGGCGGGGGGGAGGAAGGATGGCAAAGGGGGACAGAGGGGTCATTGAAGTCTGCACGGTCACGTCGTTCCGGTTTGTTATCGCGGACAATTTGTGGAAGCATAAGAGACCAAAAGCGTGCACCACGTTTGTTCGTGCTTTTGTGGTAAGCTACGGAGGACGGTACCCTTCGTTGTTCTAGGAACCGATAGATAGCGATATCAAAGCCTTTTACTCTGCATTAACAATGCTCGCATCCCGTGCCCCTTGCCACCCTTAGAAATACCTATATAACGTTACAATATTAACGCGCCGATTGACTTTTACCCTATACCTAGGAGATGTCGTGTATTTGCCACGAAACGCGACCGTAAATTGATCGCGTTGCTCTATAGATGGAAAGAGTTTTTAGTGAGGGTGTAATTTATACCACTGTGGAAATTGTAATTAATCATACAGAAACAGCAGGGAATGATAATGAATTTGGATAGCGAGGAGCAGCTCTTTTGCTCTTTTGTGTGCACAGCGAATTACACGCATGGAAAACGAGGCAAATTTTAGTCAGTTAGTTTTATAAATTTAATTTAATCGATAATTTAAACAATATCAATGGTCGATATTTTAAATTCAATGTTCTGTTACATTTTTATATTAAGATTTATATTAAGTACCAGAGTAATATTTCTCATGGGAATTTTATGAACTTACAATACAGCGAATTTTTAGAAATCTCAATGATTTTTAGTAAATGAATTTTGATAGTTAAAATATTATTAAAATATTTGATTTAACGGGAAATTCGTGCATCGCACTTTTATTTTAAATAAATTTTATTGTAAACAATACGACTTTTTACAGTATCTTCTTCATATAAATATTTTTCACTGTTTCTACTCGTAAAAGAATATGTACTTGTAAACAACATGCATCTTATCAACCATTTTTAATGGATTTTAACGATGGAAGAAACAAATATGAACCGTTTAAAATAGTAATTATGAGAAAAAACAGAAAATTGGTTAAAATTACGAAAATAAACGCGTAACAATGCTATTATGCCATTACCGTTCGTGCTATTGTTTTAGATTGAAAATGTATCTGTATGTCTATATCGTCAAAATTAAATTTGTTATTATAACGAAGATGAAATTATATTTTATATCAAGATCGTGGGTATCTATCATTGTTGCGCACACGAATAAAACTGTCGAAACTCTGAAGCATCTATTAATCGCGTTATCAACTTGCTGGAATCGTAATAACGTTTTCCAATATTAACGTTCGATATCCAAGCCGTGTTCCTGGAATATAAATCACATGGTTTAGGGAGTGTCTTTGAATCACGAAGGCCGATCGCGTATTTTCTATCACGTTCTTTTTTTTTTTTTCTTCATCGTTCAGTTTCCTTTTATAAAACTTCATATCGAAACGTTTCAATGGTACTTTCGTTAAACCGTTGCAAAAAACTTTATATTAAAGCGGCGTTCTATATCAGTTCGCTTATTAGAAATGTTGAGATTTAACTTTGATAAACTTGTTACGTTTCTCTTTTAAATTGAGAATCCCCTGGAGATTTTAATAAAAGATCTACAATGCAAATAAAAGATCCCACGTCCAACTTTTCTTCATCCTTTAGAAAAATGTCGATAAATAGAACATTATTAATCCGTTGCAATCACCAGAAGCTATAAATACCGCAAAATTTATTTCTCTTTGCATTTTTTCTTCGAAGCTTGCTTACACTCGATTTCACCCGAGAGAATTCTATTTTCTTTTTCAAAAAAATATTCCCCGATTCCTCGCTCGGTCGATCAACAACCAGAATTAGGTAAAATTTGGAGGAACAGATATTTCTGAGATTACTGTTTGAAATATTAAATACCATACGGTTCAAACATCAAGTAAAATATTTTAGTTTTAATGTTATGCGCATAATTTAACATGATATTTTATCCAGTACTGGCGTGCAACTCATTCTATCCACAAAGTTTCGTCTCGTTGAATTTCCTTGCAGTTCTACGAACCAAATTTAGGAAGAAACAAAAAATACTTGTCTGTTTAACCGGATTATTTGCGCTGAATTCGAAATATTTCGAATCGTTTCGCTTTCGTTGCTCCCAGCGTTCGTGGTAAGATGGTGAACCGTATAGGTGGAATAACGTTTGGAGAGGGGGTTTGGTGACGGTTTATCGCAGCGCAAACCTGAGATAAGAAAGGCAAACAGAAACGCGCATCGTATGGTTCGTATGCCCACGGTCTACCACCGGACTTCCTTCTGATTATGGTTACCAATATTTAAGTCCGTAGCGTGATTACCGCGTTCCCCATGTCAACTTTTTCCTCCTTCCCCGCCCCCCCGGATTTTTTTCCACATTCCCCTTCGAGTTGGGTGATACCGATTTTTCGTTAACTGTTCTAACAAAATCATCCAGTTCCAAGAATAAATATGGCATGAACACGCCTTCGTATTACACGTATATATATGGTTCGAATACTCTTTTCCTCTTCAGTATCGCGAAATTCATCATTTTTTTATTGCTCGACCACGACGAGAGAGATATGTACTTTAGCTAATCACGTTTGCTAGAAATTAATTTTCTAAGTACTATCGCGAGTATGATGTAATTAAGAAATAATCAAATACGTGTTTATCGTATTTTTCGATCACGAACGATCGAAGATTGACAAATGGCTCGATCTGACTGGACGGGAAATAATTAAAGTAGCTACAATCAAAAATATCGAGATATTTAAAGTTTCTGAACTATCGGCAATATTTCTTACATTTGTTTGGAAGATCATGCAAATGGATCGAAGACACGATTTCAGAGAAAATTTAGATACAATTGTTATACGTACAGTAAAGCGAATGAAACTTCCTAATTACGCTCTAATAATAACAAGAACCTATTTTATTTGCCTCGGTGTACATACGTTAATGGTGAATTTGGTAATCGTAATTTAAAATATCTAAAGTCCTTGTTTTTCTGTAACTCCTTAATTAATATTGTATAATTTTTTTACATACGCAAAAGTAGTTCAAAAATTCTCCTTCGAAAAGCAGTATTTTAAAATTTGTAAACGTTTACAAAATAATAGTACAGTAAGAAAGTAGAATAACGAAATTAAAAAAATGTGTTTCTTTCTAACACGATTCTTTAAAATTCAATGAACTCTTAAGGGAATTATTAAATATATAAATATTATTATTAAATATATAATAATATTAAATATTTGAATTTGTCAGGATGTATATAGATTTTCGCGACTGGCCGTATGTCTAACTAAAAGTCGTTTATTCGATTTTTCGTAGATTTCGCTACTGCGACGACAAAACTGCGAGCTTCAGAAGGCTGTCGTCGAATTAAATGCAAAACCAAAGGATTCGGTAAGTTTTTTCCATGTTAATTTTCTTCTTGTTAGTCCTTACGTTGTAAAATACGTGAACGTATTTCAAACTTTGAAAAGCTTCAAAGAATATCTGTTTTTTTTTTTCCTTCTTTTTATTCGTGCTTGCATATTCAACGATAGGATAATTTATATTCATGACTCAGTAATAGCACGTTTAGTTAAAAAAGTGGAATACGATAAGACCGAACGTTAAGCAATAATGTTAATTAAGTATTCACTGTGCGCGGACAATTGTTCTTGCATGTAGAAATGTTCGTTTTTGATTTTAGAAAAAATATTTTCCTCCAAAATTTGTTCTATTGAAATCTTGTAAATCTTTTTGAGAAATTTGGAAACGAAAAAATCTGCATACAATGTATATAATGCAGAGAAATATGTAAAATATCAAAAATGAAGTATTCTCGTCAGAATCTCTGTTTAGATTCTATTTCTTCACAAAGATATAATTTTTGCTTACGAAAATATTCGAACACGCCATCAAAATTTGAAACGAATCTATGACTATTTAAATACTTTTTAAATATATCTATATTTTATTTTTAAATTATTGCAGCTTGAACGAAATGTCAAAGTGTCTCATGTAACACACATAACAGTTGCGTAAAAAGTATACTTTCGTGAGCAACTGTAACCTCAGTCCACAATTGAATTAATTATCATTTATACGTAATATTTGAAATGAATTGCGATATTACATTTATCACAGAACATTTATCAATCTTCGTTTAAAATATTTTATTTGCTATTTCCAACGATAAACATCGAATATTCCAATTTTTAATAGGAAAATTCGCCGAAAATTGGTCGAAGTTTCGCATTAAATATGATGTGCATGTAATAAGAAAAATATATATACACAAATTTTTAAATTTCTTTTTATATTAAAATAAAATTTCAATTTTCTTCAGTTTGGTTTCTCTTACACCTACATATCAATTAAATTACGCACAAACAATATTACATCCGCTGAGACATCCAACTAACGAGGAAAACTGAAGACTCAAATATGAGTTATTCGACAGAAATCTGTCAATTAGTAGAACAATTAAGTTATTTTCCCATCAGCTTTCCTTCCTTATAATTAATCGGCCACGCCGTACAACGCTGAGTAGCAGCTGATGAAGCTGATACAAAACTGCTGAACGCTGTTTCCCCTTTGCGTTTCGTTTGTACGTCTCGTGCTCTTCTGCTCGAGCGTTTCTACACGGGTTCCCGGTAATATACAAGCCTTAAAACCTCGCTAAGTACGTTGACTTACGAAACTCTTCTCGCGTTCCGAAATAATCTTTTATCTCGTGCCGCGCTGCTCCGCGGTGGACTTTTATTTGTGTACCCATTTTTGTACGAGATCGTAACGCGATTTATTTGGAAATCGTAAATTTTCCATCGCTAACTAGTCCTCTGTTATTTATTAACCAGCATTTACGGTAGCTAATTCCAGATAATTACAGATTGCAATAACGTCTACGTATATTAATCATTTGACCAGTTTCGCGCTGCATTTCATTCCTCCGGTAGAGAATTCGGCATCGATCTACGCGCGACACGTGAAAATTTATTTATTTTCTCGTTTGACAAAAATTGACAACGTGATGTATATTCACGTTTAGAAGTTTTCGCGCCTTCTTTTTTAAATTAATATCTTCTCGCGCGTAATTTTTTCGAGAAACATGAATATCGTGAACTGCGGATTTTTATACAACTTTGTATGTTTATGAACTCGGTTGATTGAGGAGATCAGTTTCAAATAGAAATTTTAAATATAATAAATAAATGCTCCACTTTGGATGCTTATATATATAATATACTTTTACATATTACGCGCATTTTATAATTATATGTATCATTTCCACATTTACAATTAATCATAGTTTCGACATTTGAAAGTTTTTTTTCTTTCTAATTTCCAAACTTCTGAGCAACAGTATACGCTAACAACATAAAAGAATACAAAAGGAAATCTTTTTATTTGTACCTTGATACTTGACGAGAATAGTGAGCGAAGTTAGCACGTAGTTAATTAACCAATGGAAAAACTAATGATACAAGTAAATAACATATTAAAACGCGTGGATAGAAACAATAATTACGATAATAATTAATTCAGCAATATATCTTTCAATACGAACGATGCCTCTAGCGTTCAATTCCTCTGCTGTGGTATTCTTAGAACTAAAGAAGTTCTTGGTATTCGTTGTATGTAGCACGAAAGAAATATACGTTCAAATAATAATATTTAAATACGTTGTATAGTCTGATGTGATAGATGTGTAAGTATAACACCGCGTCCATGTTTCAGAGAATGCGTACGCTGCAAACGCTTTGGCAAATTTTCATTGCACAGTAATGAGTAACGAGATGAAAAAAAATTTTCGGTTGCAGTATTTTCTTTCTTTCTTTCCCGTCGCATTCATCTCATGGTCTGTTTTCTTCTTAAGTAAGAAGTAACTTGTCTAAACTTAACAAACGACCCGAGTTTTCAACTCAATTATATTTCACCGCAGGAAGTTTATATTTTGAGAGAAAGCTTTAGCAGGTGGATAGATAAAAAAAATGAATAAATAGAAAGATTTCCAATTGCAGTCCGTGTATCTGAATTTAATAAACGACTCGGCAGCTTCAGAGATACAAAACAGCAAAATCTATCTAAATTTAATAGACGATTCTATTCTAATCTATCGAAATCTATCTAAATTTAATAGACGATTCGAGCGTATGTCGCAAATGAAATTAACAACGCTTAATGGCGTGGCCGTAATTTTTGCCGCGGATTTCCTTAATTCTCTGTCTCGTAAAACAAGCGTGAAACACTGAAAGGAACGCGTTTCACGCGTTTGAATGTTATTCACCGTGCCATCTATCAATGGAATAGCAGGCCGTTTACAAATGCATTCCTGTATAATATTCATTAGCTTCCTGGTGCGACGTTCGTCGTGCCATAGCCAACCTGGCGGACAAAAATTGCGTCGCAATAGGTAACGCAATTTCGCGTGGTTTTCACGCAGCTGTTGGCCGCGTACCATTTCATTCTGAGCTCCCTGACGAGTTCCCTGAACCCTCCGACGACCGTGTATGCACAAAACGACCGTGTAAGTACTCTAAGAACAAACACGCTTCTCTCTTTCTCTCTCCTTCTCTATCGTGCGTTTCACACCTCGACAGAATGGAAATGAAAACGAAGAAAAAGGGAAATGGAAAGCACCTAAACAACGAACGTATCGCGAAGCACGTAGCACCCAGCCGCGAAACTTCTTCAACTTTTACCCTGTTAACATTCGAAAGACGAATGACTCGTTGTTAGGTCATCCGCAATAATAACCCCGCGATCGGGTGTCATTAAATTGCTCGCCACGGTGCGTTATTAAGTTTCGAAAGTGACGCAAGCGTTTAGGCACGTGTACAACGCTGCAGCCGCTGGATGAAGAGAGCAGAAAACATCTCGTTCGCTGTCGTTTCCCCTTTTGGAATTCAGCTTTCGTTAGTCTCTTTACCGCGCCATTTCTCCCCCTCCTCCTATAGTCAATCGAACGATCGGAAACAAACGAACAGGTCGTCGTTCACTTGTTGCTTCTGTAGAATGGTGTTTTTGTTTGTTCGTTCGAAGATGTGATGTAGCTTCGGTTGTTTCAATTCGGGCAAATTCTTGAAATTCTCTGTCATCATCATGGTTGAACGAATTGACAGATGAATCGATTTATTTTTGAAGTCGATGAATTATACGTACTAGTATTTTTTATTACTGAATGCAACGAATTTTTGAAGTAGCAAGTTGTTTGAAAGAAATTGCAAATGAGATGCTGCATCAACGTGTTAGAAAAATAGTCTGAGACTCGTCAGTCGCTTGGGAGAATCGCTTATTTCACCAAGATTCTGGGTTAAGTGCCGTCTTCTTTATCTAAAAGGCATCACTGCCCTCCCTGCTCCGTGGCCACGTTCTTTAAGAACAATATCTCTGTTTTTTAGGCAATGTAACGTCAAGTTGCTTGTCGTTTCTCTAACCCTGCATACATAAAAATACCAAAAGCCATGACTGGATACGCGAACTGTTCAATCTCACTTATTAGCTCTATTCATTCTCAAATATGACTTAGGTAGTCGTATCATAAATATATGACTACCTAAGAATAAGGGATCCTCTTAAAAAAAATCCGCCGACGCTAACAAATACTTTAACATTGATCCCTTAAATAGCTTAACACGATGTTTTTAATGCTGTTTTCAGTGCAATTAGTAACGGTGAATTCAATACATCTGATAAATAGTTTAAATTATAATATATATCTTTTGAATATTTAATTATTGTCATATATATATATATCCTTTTAAAAAACAAGATTTATTATGGGTTTCTGTAACTAGTGGTGAATATTGTATACTGGTATTAACTGATGTAGACATAGCTACTCCTCGATGTCAAAATTATTTGGAAAGAAAAAGAATCCAATGTCTGTCATTAACACGCAAAGCAAAAACTAGATACTTGATAATTTGTGATAATAAATTTTCATTTGTATGTGTGTGTGTTTTTTTTTTTTTTTTCACTTTTTCACGCTGGATTATTTTCTTTCTAATTGGCAGCTGGTATAACATAACTCGAACATTGAGTGATTAAAATGAAATTTTCATCGTTTCATCGAAAAAAAATTTTTACTCTTGCCCAAGAAAATAGAAATAGACTCTATGACGTATGAGGATAATGATCATTTAAACGGTCTCTTCAATTATTCAAGGCAATTCACCAAATTTATATTCTCACACTCTTAAATTCGTATCAACTAAAGATACGTTCTTCCAACTATCTCCTGAGATAAATTGTTGCCCGCTAAAACTGTCGATCAATCAAAACTGCAACTTCGTTAGTCAAGAGAGCAATTTTAAAATAAAACGCTGAATAATGAAATTTTCCTTCTCACTTAAATAACCGACGCTACCAAAAATAACAGAAAATAAAGTGAACAAGTGCAAAGAGTTTAAAAAGAAAAGTTTCTCGAGCGTTTGTTCGAGTTGAAAAAAACGTCATGGAGGGGAATGGCTGAGAAAACCACTTACGATATTGCGCTATTTAAGTATCACAGCAAGAACGTACGCTAGGAATGTGAGATATGCTCGATAACTGTATCCTCGTACTTTATTTCATATCTTGGACCAACAAAGGATCGGTCCCGAAGCTCTCTTCGTTCCACCTCTATCGGACATCGTGTCAAACGGAAATATATATTTTTTCCCCCTTCCTTTCATCGTTCTCGCGCTGTTTCGAAAATTCGTTCCTCGAGGCGGCCGTTTGAATTAAAATCAATCGGTGTAATAATACGTGCGACTTCAACGCGACTGATTAGAAGGATTGTGCCGTTCACAAACGCCGGATGTTGCCGATGACCTCCGCCACTTCGGCTTTTAATAACTAATCAGGTGCTGAACCGTTGCGTTTCCATTCGAGCGCAAGAACTCGAAACGATCGAGCGAGGTAAAATTCGTGACGGTGAGTCATTCCCCACCGAGGATGATTCAGGACTAATTGTAAGTAGCAGTCGCGGACTATGGGCGAATTGACTGATAAGCGATAATTTCAATTGCAAACGAGCCAGAGCGATTCACACAATTTTTTTTTTTTTGTATATCTTGATGCTTAATTTTTTTTATATTTAAAGTAAATTTGACTTGACCATTAGGCTTGAACAGCGG